GCTTATGGGCCAGCTGCCAGCCGTTAGAGTCAACCCACATAGGGCGTTTACAAACAGTGGAGTAGATTATGCTGGACCTATACTAATGAGAGCATCTAAGGGTCGCGGTCATCATACAACAAAAGGGTACATTTGCTTGTTTGTATGTATGAGTACTCGCGCGATTCATCTCGAGGCTGTCACTGATCTAACTTCCCAAGCATTCATTGCTGCATTTCGTAGGTTTGTCGCACGCAGAGGCTATTGTTCCCACCTATGGAGTGACAATGGGACGAACTTTGTCGGAGCAGCTAAGGAATTAAAGTTTCTGTTCAAAGGGGGCAAGGATAGTGTCACTCAAGAAGTAGCAGCAGTATTGGCAAATGAGGGAACAACCTGGCATTTCATACCTCCAAAAATGCCAAATTGTGGAGGTTTATGGGAGGCTGGAGTACAGTCAGCAAAAAGACACCTTAACCGAGTCATTAAGGATACCAAGCTAACATACGAAGAGATGGTTACCTTTTTAGCTCAAATAGAGGCTTGCCTCAATTCTCGTCCTCTTTGCCAAATTGATAATACTACAGAAACTCCTTTAACACCAGGCCATTTCTTAGTTGGAGAATCTTTGATCGGTGTGCCAGATTTAAATTATGAATATCAGAAAATCAGCCTTTTGAGTAGATGGCAAGTCATCCAAAAAATGACACAAGACTTTTGGCGTCGGTGGCAGTGCGAGTATCTCAATACCTTGCAGCAGAGACATAAATGGCAAGTGGCAGTTCCGTCGCCAAGCATTGGAGACTTGGTAATCATCAAGGATGAACTGACACCCCCGACACAATGGATTCTCGGTAGAATTAAAGATCTTCATCCTGGTGCAGATAATTTAGTGCGAGTAGTAACAGTAAGGTGCAAGGGTAATAATGAACTAAAAAGACCATTGTCAAAATTAATAATACTTCCAAAGGATGTTGAGCAAAATTAAGTAAATTCCATCATAGTTTATTATTATTCCATAATAGTAAGTTCCCTAATATTATGAGTGATTACCGTTGCATATGTTTTACTTTAAAGAATTATTATTTGTTATTGAATATTTTTTTGTAATAAGGATTTAAGTTGCAGAAAACGTTTGTAATTGAAAGTTCCTTGATACTAATGTAATTAATTTTGAGCTAGTATATAACTTTTGTTACTTACTAAAGGTACCTAGCATATACTTGTCATGCTTGACACTTATAATCATAGTATTATTTCCAATATCTATGTCTATACTAAGGTAAATTATTTATGCACGTTTTTTGGGTTTACAATTAAAAACTATTGTTTTTGGCGGGCGGTATGTCCGATACGTATTGTCGCATCATTTGCTATGCAAGTTTTAGTCTTAATAAAATCATTATAGAGGAAACACGTGTTATCAATTCGCAATCACCTGATAAAGAAATCTCAACCTTATGTCGAAGACAAAAACATATACGATTTTTTAGACTTACATACATGTTTTAATAATTTTATAAAGGTAACTAGTAAATGTAACTGCTTAAAATTAAAAACAAACATCATAGTAGCTCAAATGCCACTTAAGAGCTTCTTTTCTTCATCAAAAAGTTCTTAATATTTTTTAGTATAAGGTTTTCTCAAACTTGTAATTTACGGATCAGAGGTATACAATAGCGTGTAGAACATCTTCGTTGGTGGCTATCCTCGAATATTTTCTTGCATTATGAAGCCTGAATTGTTTGTAGTTTTTGTTCCGTGACTCTTGAGCATCTTCTAAAAGTTGCCCAAGAGGCAATACCGTAAAATGACGTATGACACTTTCACCATGAATCAAAACCTCGTGCACGGAAGATGGCACATAGTACAATTTATATTTATTAACATACAGTTGTACTCAATCAAATCCCATCTCCAATTTCTGTTTTGGCTTAAGAACTGTTCTTTCTATCGACCTGCTTTAATACAGCGTTGACGAAACTGAGTTATGAAAGACTTCTGAGTACTTGCGATAATTTTAGCAATATTTGCATCTGAAGATTCGGTGAAATTGATTCGTATATAGTAAGCGATGGAAACACCATAATTTGAATCACTTTCAAACAATAAGAGACTTAGGTTGCGTCTGGTACACGAGAACTGACTCATTGCGGCAAGATATTTAAAAAACTATTATTTACGACAAGAACTAATGAAAAACTGTAATATTTCATACTCAAATGCACTATTTTATACCGAAAAATTATGAAAGACGTGTGCAAAATTAGTAGATATAAGCTATTTTACAATTTTGCGGTTTTGCGATTTTCCATGATTCTTATGGGAATGGGATGTAAATATTATGTTAAATACAAGATATTAGTATAGCATAAGATAAAAAATAATATAACAAAAGGGCCATTAGCCTTTATTTAAATATCCGTGCTGAGAAAGACGAAATCAGGAAAGTCTTATTAAACGTACCTAAAAATCTATGTTTTCACACGCTGATATTCTAAGACATTTGACAATGTTATGCACTGATACAGCAGAAAAAAATTTGTTGCCGTCAAATAATATTAAATTATCTAAGAAATAACAAGAACTTCGGCAAGCTTCGGCAAATGTCAAAACTCCAACTGAAAGTTTAAGAAACGAAATTAGTCCACATTATGATATAGATTTTTTTTAATTGAATAATATTAAAAAAACTGCATATATTTAAATTTTATAGAAAAGAAGACATTCTAAGCTTTCACACGCACTTTCAATCACACTTACATGATTTCTTTTGTTATGATCCTATAAAATTATACCAAACTAACTGAAATCTAATTATTATTTTTGTATTTTTTTCATTCCCTGACTTTAGATATTCTTCTTTATAAAATACGAAGAGTCAGAGACTTAAATTATATTGATTATAATAAAGTAACTCTTTAGCTATAATTTGATGTATAATACATGCCTCGAATCACAGTTACGAAAAAAGCATTTATGAGATGGCTTTCTTAGGAGGGTTCCCATAGTGCGCCGCAAAGCTATGTCTTTGTGGTTTATAAAGTAACCTTCAATTAAACCCATTTTATTTTAATATGTCATGGTAAGTAAATTAAAATAAAATTGCAGACGCTTGAGAATATATGTGTTTCATTTTTGAATTATTATTTTTATAAATTTCAGCCAATCGCATTGTAACTGTGAGTTCAAAAAGAAATGCATACGTACTACAGTTTGTATATCACTTTATTATTTTTATCACGTAATAAGGTATTCCTTTCATTGAAAATGCAATGTTATGTAGCAAAAATAATCCTTGTGATTAACCCTTCCGATGGTTATTATATTATATGCTGTGTTTATTTTTTCAAAATTTCACGAGTTTGATTCCCAGTTGTAGCAGACGATTTTTTAAAAATCTGTGAATACAGTTCTTGTTATTTTTAAAAATAAAATGATGTCTTCTTTCAGTAAAATATCCTATCTTCAATATTTAATATACTTTCCCTCCGTGTGAGGTAGCCGTGGGACGCCCTGTATATATATAGTGACCTAGCCGAAACGTCGTGATTAAGAAGGTACTTAAAACCTTCAATGAAGTGCGCGTTTCAACCCGTTACATGTTATACGAATGCTAGTGTGTTAAATTAATATGATGTAATTGTACGTCATTTTTAGTTTAAGCATTAAACGGTTGGATTAGATATCTGAAGATAGAATAAGGAACTGGTTAATGGAGCCCCCAAACTAATATTAAAAAAGTGTGGACTCCAGATTCCTTTAAAAATTTAGTTACATCTCGCTAACACTTTATTTTCAAAGAATGTATAATTGAGTTATTCTTATCAGATACTAGCTGTGTCCCGCGGCATTACCCGCGGTTTATTAGGGATATTTTTTATTTTTTTAAAACGAAGCCTATGTGTTAATCCAGGGTGTTAGTTAACTCCATACCAAATTTTATTAAAATCGCTCCAACCGTTTAGACGAAAAGAAGTAACAAACATACACACTTACACTCACCAACTTTCGCCTTTATAATATTAGTGTGATTCAATGAACTAACATTAATGTATATTAACAGAATGCCTGAAGACTCAACTATATAATTTCTATGCCCGTAGCTCCAGGTAAGTAATGCCCAGCTCCAGCGGGGCCCAGAATGTTCCTGCAGCGGGTGTGCGCTGTGACGTGACTCACCACATGAACACGTCCAGTATGTAGACGCTGCGGGTGACGAACAAATTGCGCACGTACGGCGCCACCTCGGGCTGCTGCAGATCCAGGTACCCCATGCCCAGCTCCAGCGGGGCCCGCAATGTTCCTGCAGCGAGGGTGCGCTGTGACGTCACTCACCATACGAATATGTCCCCGTGCACGTCCAGTATGTAGACGCTGCGCGTGGCTAGCACGTCGCGCGCGTACGGCGCCGCCCCGAGCTGCGACAGCTCCAAGTACCCCATGCCCAGCTTCAGCGGGGCCCGGAATGTTCCTGCAGCAGGGGTGCGATGTGACGTCACTCACCACACGAACACGTCCACGTGCCCGTCCAGTATGTAGACGCTGCGCTTGGCGAGCACGTCGCGCGTGTACGGCACCGCCTCGGGCTGCGGCAACTCCAGGTACCCCATGCCCAGCTCCAGCGGGGCCCGGAATGTTCCTGCAGCGGGGGTGCGCTGTGACGTCACTCACCACACGAGCACGTCCACGTGCGCGTCCAGTATGTAGACGCTGCGCGTGGCTAGCACGTCGCGCGCGTACGGCGCCGCCCCGAGCTGCGGCAGCTCCAAGTACCCCATGCCCAGCTTCAGCGGGGCCTGGAATGTTCCTGCAGCAGGGGTGCGCTGTGACGTCACTCACCACACGAACACGTCCACGTGCGCGTCCAGTATGTAGACGCTGCGCGTGGCTAGCGCGTGGCTAGCACGTCGCGCGCGTACGGCGCCGCCCCGAGCTGCGGCAGCTCCAAGTACCCCATGCCCAGCTTCAGCGGGGCCTGGAATGTTCCTGCAGCAGGGGTGCGCTGTGACGTCACTCACCACACGAACACGTCCACGTGCGCGTCCAGTATGTAGACGCTACGCGTGGCGAGCACGTCGCGCGCGTACGGCGCCACCTCGGGCTGTGGCAGCTCCAAATACCCCATGCCCAGCTCCACGCGGTACAACCGCGGCGGGGCCCAAACGAAATCTTCAGGCACGTGTTCCTACGTTGAGTATTACACAAATTCATAAAATCACTATAGACCTTGGAGACTAAGGCCTCGATGTTTCATCTATGGTTAAATTTGACTAAGGTTAATGTCACGTCAAATACATAATAAGTGTGTAAAATTTTGACAAATTGTTTTTTTTATGAGATTCAACTATACTAAAATGTAACTATCAATGAAACAAAACAATGCTTCCTAAATATACTTCCTAAGCACGTGCTCGAGATTGAGAATACCAAGAATTCACAAAAGAACGACCAATTCTCGGAAAGCTAGAAGCTTGATGGCACTAGTGGTTAACGCCTTCAGTCATGACCAAATGTCTTATCTTGACCTCCTCCGTGCTTCGAAAGACAGGTTAGGCCCTTGGTCTCGGCTGCATCTACAGTTGGTAGCACCCAGCAATCTGTACTGAGTCCACGTGGTGGGTCACGGCCCAATATCCCGATTCCATCGATAGGGAAGTCCTGTGCCCCAGGAGCGTGGACATTAATAAGCTATTAGGATATTATTATGCTGCATTATATTAAACAACTCAATAATTTAAAATCGCCCAAAAAGACATACCTTAAATCTTGAACTGTAAAACTAAATAATCAAGTTATGTATGCAATTTTTTTACCTGTGGTTCATACGGTAACTCTCCCTCGTATTCGAGCATCTTCCAAAACCTAGCGGGCTCTTTACCAGGTGGTTCGGCGACCAGCTCCGCCTTGTTCTTCCGCTCCTCCTTGTTGATCTTCTCGGCGAATAAACGTGCTTTAGACTTCAGTGTGTTCTTCGCCTTTTTACCGTTCCTAAGATACAGACAGAAGTTATGTTGTATTACTTAGTTCAGACTCATTGTATGAGCGCGGCGGTTATACTTTGTGGACTGTGGTTTTACTTTACTGGCTCTCGCTTCAGGTGGATGCTGTGACCGCTGGTTTACACTATATATGTATATGCACGCCTTAGAAGGGAGAGCGATGTGTGTGTGTTGTGTGTGTGTGTGTGTTGTGTGTGTGTGTGTGTGTGTTGTGTGTGTGTAACAGGTTGTGTTACCACAGGTAGATGAGCAGGCCGGCGTCCAGCACGAACACGAAGCGGGGATCGAGCGAGTCACTGCGAGCCGGCACTGGCTCCAGATGGATGCTGTGACCGCTGGCGTGTACGCGGTAAAGTCTCGTAACATAGTGCTGTAGGATGGAATACAGTTTATATAGGTAGTCTGGGTACGCTGACAACAAAAAATAACTGTATTTTATAGTCAAAATTCATTTCCTAACACCAGTTCAAGACTTGTTTTGGACGGGGAGAAGCAAAAAAAGAAGAAAAAAAGAAATTACACGAAATAGTTATAGTAACAATGCTTACAAAACGTTATGTGCAATGAAATCAACTTGCCAGTTATATTGTATGATACAAGCCTCTATAGACTTATGGCGACCGCTTTACCACTACACATGCCATAATGCTTATTAGGGCCACCATTAAAAAAAGGTTTATTACAATATCTTACTTTGTTTCAGTTTTACACCTCAAGACATCTCATTCATTGTCGACCTGTCTCATAAAACCCACAAACGACTCTATTAAGAGTAATCGCAGCAAAGTATCTCATGCATGGACGCACACTACGAATACCGGTAAATGATATTTGATTGTACGAAAAATAAAGTACCAATTGCTGGCATCTGTATTTAATATGAATATGAGCAGCGATTTTACTGTTCTGAGAGAAGAAACAATTAATAACTTTTCTAAAAAATGATTTTTTTTCTATGGATATGTGTCCAAAAACGCCTGGATTGAGGGCTATTGCGTATGAATCCACCGTTAGAGGCGCTTGTATAGCTGAAGGTCTCCGGAATGTTAAATGTTATTGCTTGTGGGTTGACTACGCGGGTTTATTTGTAATTAAAATGATGTTGTGAATATGTGTAATAACTCAGATTAAGTATGGCAAATATGAGTTACGTGTCAATGAATGTCAGTTATTTAAAAGCGGAGCTAAGAAAAGTTATTATGTCCTCCCTTTTTCCAAACAAAACGGAACTGCGCAACACTGTGGCATGGCCGATTATGTTTACGATACGGTTCTTTTGTATTAAAATATGATTTAAATGTAAACTTTGATTTCACGCGCGTATTAACAAACTTTAAAGCTACACTCAACGATATTAAATACCCTAGATACACCACGTGCGCTCAAAATGTGTTCTAATCAAGAAGTGCTTGAACACGACCGTTGAAAAGTCAAGATGCCGCAGAGCTCCGTGAAAAAGTGCGAAATAAATACTTATAGTACGTAAAGTGTCCTTTTTTCGACTGGCATCTAATAAATGTTTGTTAATTTAACTCATTTGAAGCTAATTTTGTTCTAATAGTTACTATAAACTGATTTAATAGAAAATATTTGTAATATTCAAATGCAGGGTCGGTAATATAGTTGTTTCTTTTCCTTGCGGTCCGTACCTACTATATTGCATAACAGCGCATTCAGAATTGCGCGTAGAATCAAAGAAATAAGGTCTATATTCTCTCGTCTCGTTAAAATAGCGGCGGAGCATTTGAAGTGTGTATTTCCTATGACGATAATTGACAAAATTTTCAGTAGCGTAATGGGCGGCCCTCGAGTCGCGATTTAACTCGTATCTTGGTATTGTAATGAGAGAGGGCATAATACTGACTGGCTCGTCAACGGTGAAGAAGCCGGAAGGCGTGTGGCTGCCCTGTATGTAGACGGGCGGCGTGGAGAACAGCGCCATGAACTCGGCCGTCTCGTCCCCTTGCTCGTGGCGTTGTGTGCGTTTGGCGCCGAGCAAATTGCGGAGATTGACGGCGTGCATCGCCGCACAAGCACCTTTATCCAGCTACAAATAAAATAATATAAAATTTATTTTCGGTAACTGCCTAATTACAAATTGCGTTTAATTTCTTACATCTTAGTGAGTGTCCTTTAAAGAAACCTTTCCACGAAAATAATATTTATATCGGTCACAATCCTAAGTTACACAATAAAGCAGGAAACATCATTTTAAACTAGCAGCCGCCCACGACTACAAGAACTTAATTTTTTTCAGGGACAGAAAGTATCCTATGTCTCAGTCCAGGCCACTATATGAACCAAATTTCATCCAAATCCGTTTAGTAGTTTTGGCGTGATTGAGTAACAAACATACAAACTTTCACATTTATAATTTTAGTAGAATACAACAATGGCACGTATATTGTTTCCGGATAACTACATAGCCTCAACCAATGCCAAATGGGGCATCGTTGAGAAGCAACTATGGACATGGGGTATAAATATTTTTTTAACTGTGAAGCTGTAGCTGAAACTCTGCATAGCCCCCAATAGGGGGTGTGTTTTGGATACATGGTGTAAAAAAATCGTGTAATCAACAGCTAATAATAATAATAATACTTACAGTAGCTTTCGATCCTATCCAAAAGTGGATATCCCAGGATAATTGGCCTTGTTCTTCGACCGTCGTCTTCAATATGATGTAACAGTCGCCCTCAAAGAATTTCCCGTGAGCCACCTATAGCAAGAACTTTTCAGTTACAAGTAATATTATTAGTCTAGACCACGTCTGCAAGAGAAATTTGACAATAACTTTAGCGCGTTGCAATAGGAACTATATTGGTGGTGTAAGTGTATTGAATATATTAAGCTTTAAGTATTACTTGCATTCTCAAAGAACTCTGTGACCGCAACATAAATCTTCCACATAAATTGTATTTGCAACTGGACTCATTCACGGTAAACGTCATTTAGGAATTGAGAAGAGCAATTTGCCAGGCCTTTTATAAAAGTGAATGTTCGCAAAGTATGTACGTGTATACGGAGGAAATAGTGTTAATTATTATGTATGTTTAATAGCACACGCTTTAACTTATGTATTTAATTATAAACAATTCCTTTTTCACATAATTACATTGTTATTCTAAGCATTAAACTGCTGATTTAATAAATTTAAAGAAAAAAAAAATAGTATTATATGATCTCTTAAAACACACAGCGTTACGTGAAGACGCAGTCTTATAACTGAAAACAGGACTGCAGACTATCCATCTTTGCCAGCCTACGTCTAGCTTTATTTGCCTTCAGAAGAAAATGTTTGGTAGCCACATATACTGATTAAGACCCAAGTTGAATATGGGACATATTCTCCCACTTGTTTGGGAATGATAGAACCTGAAACTAGTGAGTTGGAAGCGCAAACTGTAAGTTGCCCTATATTCACTGTAAAAGTTACCATCGATTACACCAAGTTATAAGACTGCTTTTTCAACGTTGTGTTTTATTCAACATATAATATCTGTTTTGATATAATGCAAAACAGTTCTATGTTTTAAGACTTCTAATTTCACCATGGAGCACCCCCACTAGAGTCCGCATTACTAAAATTTTGTTTGGAATCAAAATCGCCAAAGTCGGCGGCGAGCGGACAGGGCAGGCGCGTTCTGATTGAACATATCAAGATCAGGTGATAAGATAAACTCAGTGCATCGAAGTAATGAGGGTAATATCGATTATAGAAAGTATCGATATTTTCTATCGATAAGCAATTTAGTTTAAAGACCAAGTACCTTTGGTGCGTGAGTGTAGACATGCCACCACTTTCTTCCAACGTTATTTTTGCATGACGCGACCAGTAACTACATACTTAATTATACATGAGCAAAAAAAATAAAAAACACCGTTTATATAAACACGTGACAAATATGGACATGGACAATAATATGCTGTTATGATGACTTTTAAAACTTAAGGCGCTTTGCTTAACGGGTCGGTGCGGGTTCGTTTCGTTTTGTTTGCGGGAGTGGCAGGACGGGCGAGAGATTCGGTAGCATTCGGAAGTACTCGGTACAGAGATGTATCCGCTCGGTAAAGATTCCGTACCGAAACTCAAACTCTTAAGTGAGGAAGCTCTCATTCAATGTTATGGACTCTGTAGAGAATTTGTACAGATTAGGTACAGAATCGAAAGCGAATGACCCGATGATGCACCGCACCGACCCGATGATGAAGACGCCTTAAACTTACCGGTGAAAAGTAATGTCATCTTTTTGAAGACTGGATGATTTACTCCACTTTGCACACAATTTTATTGCACAGTACGGCATTTTAAACAGTTTTATAAGACGAAAACGGGAGAATCACACCGACCAACGCTCGGTTACCGAATGAAACGATGTATCGCGACGCTGGGGGGCGTTCCTCAAGCAAAGGTGAAATTTTACTTACGCTTGGCGTAAGCGATTGCCCTTGTATGCGAACTCTAGTACACCCCCTCCATGAATTTCACCGACCTCATCGACGGGCGCCGGTATGAAGTTCTCGATCTCCCACACTTGCAGGCCGGGCGTTTGTCCGGTGTCTTCGTCGAAGAACTCCGAGTAGTCCAACGGGGGCTTCTCCAGGGTTTCGTCCCAACGCTTGGGCCTACACAAAAGGCAAGGTCTAAAACATCGCTAACGTGAACAGTAGTTGTGTCATTGAGTACAATGTTTTGTAAACATTGCTTTTGTTTTGTGTCAACATGAATATGTGTTTGCATCATATGCAAGAACAAGAACGGTTCCATACAATTTATATAAGGCAACTAGAAAAAACAGTTTCGTGAATAGCAGATTCATGATTATTTAGTTTTTATTTATTGTTAAGACGGCAATGAGATACAGCCGGACGCGCGGGTTTATTAGTAAGGTTCCTTTCCAAAGGGTATGAAGCCCTTAACATATTATGTTCATTTTAGAAACTTATGGACTTTTACACCATTTATGTAGAAAAGAGGTACGTAGAAGCACGTCGCGCACATAGTATCGTGTTTTATGTAAGAACCCTAAGGTTTCAGGGCTCCACTGAGTAGGGGTTGGGGTCAGGACAGGCGCAAGTGATACTTTAATATCGCAGGCATCGAACAGGCTATGATAGCAGCTTACGATTAGACGGACCATTTGTTTGTCAGCTAGCCTTTTTACATAACAAAAATATTTACGAATTAAAAACTTCCTCCGTTTTTAAGTCGGTTAAAGTAGTCTAATAGTTATTTAATAAAAATTGCCGCGCAGGATGAGCTCCGACTGGCCGACATAAATAAATACGGACTTGAGCTCGCTGCTCCGTTGGTCGTGGGTCAGGTCGTTGAACTGCTGCGTGCTGCCCTCTGCTCCTGCATGCCGCGCAGGATGAGCGCCGAGTCTCATTGCTCGGGCTCGGCTATGGGGAGGTATTTCACGCCTACTGGCCGACGTATATCAATACTAACTTGAGCTCGCTGTTCCTTTGGTCGTGGCGCAGGTGGTTGACCACTCGGCATGCAGGAGCAGGCATGCTGGCCTGCCCCTGCATGCCGCGCAGGATGAGCGCCGAGTCTCGTTACTAGGACTCGGCTATGGGGAGGTATTTCACGCCTACTGGCCGACGTATATCAATACTGACTTGAGCTCGCTGTTCCGTTGGTCGTGGCGCAGGTCGTTAACCTGCTGCATGCTGGCCTGCTGCTGCAAGCAGCGCAGGATGAGGGCCGAGTCTCGTTGCTCGGGCTCGGCTATGGGGAGGTATTTCACGCCTACTGGCCGATGTATATCAATACTGACTTGAGCTCGCTGTTCCGTTGGTCGTGGTGCAGGTCGTTGACCTGCTGCGTGCTGGCCTGCTCCTGCATGCCGCGCAGGATGAGCGCCGAGTCGCGCTGCTCGGGCTCGGCTATGGGGAGGTATTTCATGCCTACTGGCCGACGTATATCAATACTGACTTGAGCTCGCTGTTTCGTTGGTCGTGGCGCAGGTCGTTGACTTGCTGCGTGCTGGCCTGCTCCTGCATGCCGCGCAGGATGAGCGCCGAGTCGCGCTGCTCGGGCTCGGCACGTCCGCGTCTCAGACGCAACTTGCGCGCTATGGGGTCCGACTTCACGCCTACTCGCCAAAGAGAATAAAATATTTAGTATAAATAGCCTTTTGAACGAGTATAAAGCTTGTTTCTCTACAGGATCCGTGTGGAGCAGCAGGCTGCGTGGGGCGGCAGAAGCCATGTAAAGGCATTTGTAACTTGCCTGCATTTTGATTTAATTCACTAATTCTAGGGCTATTCTATTCTAGGGGGGGCGTAAGTGACCCGAGGCGCTATATATTAAAATACGCCCCTATGACTACGGAGGATCCAAAACGTTAGAAACATTGAAATAATTTTAATAAAAGTGTTCTCGTTCAATTAGCTAAAATAAGGATATTCTAAGTATATTTTAATTTTATGCATTTATGTCATAGATTTTACTAACTAGCAACCTCCCCCTGCCTTTTTCTTAAAGCCTGGTTTAACCAGCACAAAACCGCAGAATATTAATAAACTTTTAATAATTCGAATCAAAATACAGTGGAATCCGTTTATAATGAAATCGAAGGAAATTGACACACACACGTCATAATAAACCGTCGTCATACAAAGCGTTTTGTAAAAAATATCTAATGTATTCTAATAGAGAAACATAGTACATATATTAAATCAAAATAAAAATTTCACGTAATAAGTACATACGGTAAGTGTATGTATGTAGAGTCTGTGCGGAAAGAGAATGAGCGTGGCGAAAAACGGAACTAACATTAAGATTTTTATTTGGCAATCAAACCCAGCAATCTGTAAAACGTCAAAGTTTGGTATTGATACGGATTTGTTTGTTGTTGTGATTCCTTTGGGGTTTTTTGTATTTAATCATGTCTAAAAGGGGTAAAACCTTACAAATACGGTAGAAAAACACTACAGCGCCCTCCAATCTAAATTCCATTCTATATCCGCACAGACTCTACTATATTTTAATTTTTTTTATGAAGTAATGTGTAATTTTTGTCTGATTTTGTTTTTTCATTTTATTGTAATAACAGTCTCTATTGTTGGGGGCGGCGTTGACATGACATTTTTTTCACAGGATATCACTAAAAACAATGCGTGACCTTCAAGTGTCAATTACTCACTGAGATTCAAAACAAAATCGAGCCACGTGCCGATCGTCGTCAGGAATCAACGAACATTATGAAAGTGTAAAGAATCATCACTGTAATGGAAGCCATAATATCCGACTTTTTTACAATTATTTTTATATGAAAACTAAAGTTCGTAGTGTAATTACGTCATAATAATCGGTAGGTCAATATAGGGTGAAATTGAATGTTTTAATGAAACTTCGTGAGATTGTTGGGTTACATGTATAGAGTATGCCTGATTTTTTTCGGAATTTTTGAAGTATATTTTTTTCATGTATTTATTTATAATTTGTGTATTTTATGTCCTTTCCTCCTTTTGAGTAGTTATTCATTTTAAACAAACAAACTTACATATCCAGTGAAAAATAACTAATAAATAAGCACATCTAAAAAATGGAAAAACATTAAAATTCCACCGCGGGTCAACCGCGCCCGCCAGCCGTTGAGTGAGTAGGTACCTCTACACAGAGTTCAGCTGACTTCTTTGATTCTACACAATACAATAAAGTCGTCTTATGCCTTTATTGAAATAATAAGCACAAATGTCATCTTCTCTTAAGCAGAGAAAAACTTTAAAAGTTAATAATAATTTTGTCACGATTAGAAATAGGCAAATGTTAAACAAAAAGAAATACTTATTGCAGTTCAATACTTGGGTCAGAATAAAATTTATAACCAGGTATTCAAAAGTACTTACGAGACCGATGAACCTATTCATTTTTTTCACTTTAACTTCCCGTATACACTTTGTAAACACAATCAATCACTAAACCTACTTTCGTAAAGCCTTGTGGCTCTGCTGAGTATTCCGTGACACTACAATAACAACACACCATATCCAACTTCTTATATTGAGGCCACAGAACAAGACCTAATCAAGGCATTATTTGCAAATCTTCTCTTGTCACAAATTTAAAAGATACGCACGCGCGGTTTATAAACTTGACACTGCGCTCGCTCACTGCGCTTTGCAGGTATTCAACGCATAGGTAGGTATTCAACCGATTCAACGGGCGGGAGCGGTCATTGCTCCCGGCCGCTCGTCTTCTGCTTTTACGTTGTTTTTAGTAGTGCTTATTAGTTGTTTTTTACTTACTCTGTATGCGTGTTTAAAAAGAATAATTATTTAGTACCCAAAAGGAGGAAAGGACTTAAAATATAACAAAAAAAAAGGAATTTTATTTTAAATCATTTTTAAAAAATCCGAAAAAATTCAGAGATGCTCTATATACGTAACCCAACAATCCCACAAAGTTTCATTAAAACATTCAATTTCACCCTGTATAGGCGGAGTCATAATAAACGGATTCTACTGTACTTACTATTTGGAGTAGCTGGTTCACTGTTAGTGGCGCCAGCTAATTGCAACTGCGCTTGTAGCGAGAAGTCAATGTTGTAGTACTGCAGGCCAGCGCCTCGAGCCCTTTCCACGGGCTTCGGTGGCATCACCAGTTCCAGGTTTCCGTGTAATTGAAGGCTTTCCAAGTCGCTCAAGAGATGGATCGCGTCAGGTAACGTGATTAGCTTGTTGCAACTCAGGTTAAGCTTTTTGAGGGAACCACATCTAAAGACAAATATTTTTTTTAAAGGTCTTCATCATGTCTGATTATATTTTAGACAAACTTTTGTCTTTTGGCTAGGCTTTAAACTGTTCCAAATGTTCCAAGGGGCTTTTTCTATTATTATGATAAAGATTACCTAATTTTGTAATTGACACTGTAACAATTAACATTGCTTCTTCACACATAGTTATTGAATAAGGCATCAACACTCACCTGCAGAGTCCTTCAGGTATCATCTCCAGCAGATTGTTTGCTGCAGAGAATACCTCTAAGTTTCCAAGTTTGCCAATACCAGAAGGTATGGCTTCGAAATCCAATTGGTTGTCGTCAACGTGTAATCGCCTCAAGTTTTGCAACTTGCACAGGGATGCGGGCAGTGATGTCAGCTTATTTCTCGATAGATTTAAACTCTCTAATTTTTGCCAGATATCCATAGCTATTTATCAAAAGAGATACAACATACTACAGAATTCACTAAGCAACAACATTTTAATCATAATACAACAAATTAGTATCTAGATTAATTCAGTTCTCTTACATAAAAACAAGCATGTATTTATCACGATATGAGTATGTCAGGTTAGAACTTGCATTATGGAATTCAAAAACTTAGCTATAACAGATAATTTAGAATGTTCGATCTGTGAAAATTGATGTATTAGACTAGTAAATACTCTAGCTATTCTTAATTTTACTAGAAAATGTCTTTATTCAAAAAAAATTAATTAAGTCTTTTTGTGCTTTATACAATGATATTAAAACATATTAAATATTGTTGACTATACAAAATTAAGTTACTGCTAAATCTTATAATTTCTTTACAATTAATTTGTCACTAGCATGCATTGACATATAAAAATAAGTAGACTCCCAACCGCTTAACAAAAGTGCATTAAAAAACGTCTGAGCTGTGCTATGATAAACATATATATCCACTTTATATATAGATAACAATAACGCATTCGTTCAAATTAAGACGTTATGTCGTGGCAGTAAGGTTCAATGTCAATTGTATACGATAGAAAGAGTTTTTGTTTACGGTGGGAGAGAGACAGAGTGATATTTTTGTAGCTATTAAACTGTAATTAATAAGAAATACGAAAGACAACGCCAAAAAACTTGCGGAATTTAGTTAGTTTATACACTTACCTGAACTACAACATTACGATAATTGTATGTTATTGGTAAGGATCAGGTGTAGATCAGTAGGCCTATTTGCTAACTGCTTTTGACAGATGGAAGTGATAATCACCGATCTATTTAGTGATCCACTACTGCTTGATTATAATGCTACTAAGATACTTCTGAAAAGCATCGATGGATATATATGCATTTTCTCTTTAGTTGCACACTGTAAATGTCAAAAAAGTTAGCAAATAGGCCGGCAGGTGTCATTTGCACATTTTTTAAATGAACACTTTGTTATTGTGAGGCGTAGTAATTAAAGCGCGGTCGAAACACGACTGTTTAAAAATTACGCACAATAGAAGAATATGCCTAATTTTACATCCAACACATTTTGAGCGTTATTATGTATCTACTTATTTTATACGTCAATGCTATCATGCAAGCAAGTTTTGCACAATCAACAACCTAAATAGATGAATGTTCAGTATAATTAAGTGAAATCTTGCATGTCTAGCTTGCATAAACGTCAGTGTTTAATCTACGTAACACGGTATGTGTTACTTATTTGAAGAAACATGAAAAATATTTTAAAAAACAGTAATAATATCCATTTTGTTAATTTCATATATTTTTTTGGTTAGTAAAAAATAATTGGTATATAAAACCAAAATTAATTCTGTGAATACAAGATCACTAACCTTGATATTATTTTATATGGCTTAAAAAGAGTTCGTAATAAAATGACATTTTGCATACAAAAAGTGATAGCACTGTGTTGGGTCAACATTTTAGCACAAATACTAACCTGAAGATACTTCAGTAATTTCATTATCGCTGAGGTTTAGCCTCTTAAGGCTCTGGAGGGAGTATAGTGCATCGGGTACTTTAGTCAGGGCATTTTTCGAGAGGTCTACATCAGATAAGTTCGACAGTGTGTCTAGAGAAGTAGGCAGGTTGGCAAGAGTGCGTTGCGTATTTCTCATGTGAAGAGTCTCCAAATTTTGTAAAGATGGCAGTTGTCTGAAGTTGTTTTAAATAAATCAACAATGTAAATCATAAAAAAAAGCACAACATATAAGTACTATGATAATATTCAACATACTGAAAAACTTTATAGTACTGTGTTATTTAGACCTGAAATCTAAATATGAAGTTTGACCAAAATAATAGCAAAGGTGAAAAAACCTCTATTAATTTACAATAATAAAAAATTAAATAATGCTGCACTAAGCACTCTAAAAATACATTATTTGTTAAGGTATTTTAAGAAAATACTTTGATTATGATGTCAATTCTGGCATGATTCTCTAAAGCTAAACTTAAATTTGACAACAGTGTATCTTTGTCATTCTCTATACAGAATGAAAAGGACAGACTAATGTTAAATTTAGTTTTAAGTTTAGAAAATCCTGCCAGAATCGACACCTATATGTATATTTATAATTTATAATGAATTAAAGGGATTACTAAAACAACCAGTTTTCATATATATACATACCGTAGTTGAAAAAGTCCCAAAGGGTTATCATTCAGTATAAGAGTTTGAAGATTTGCCAATCTCCGTGTCTGAGGAGGTAGAGTCTCCAAAAGATTGTTGGATAAATCAAGAAATAACAGATCTGTTAACTGAACAAATAATGTAGGTGGTATACTCTCTATTCTGCAAAATAAGGTGATGAGATTGATTTAAAGGAATAAAATTGTTTGCAACTCAGTATGTTTATAATATTATAATTCCTTGAAAATACACACTGAAAAATACTATCTTTATTAACCTATATTAATGTGATACTCAAAGTCAACTGAGGATATAATAATACAGGTTTTGCACAGGTAAAAGGTGATACTAAATTAGATCTTTTCATGTCAAAAGTAATACGAATGAAATGTCTAGTGTAAAACTATACTGTTACTCTGCCTTATTAAAAAATTTCAATAATTTTTCTTCAATCACAATCAAACAACTTTACTTATATAAATGTATTCAAAAAACTTACTTATTATGACTGAGGTTTAAAACCAGTAGTGATTTGGCCTTTTCTAATCCTTCGGGAACTTCTTTCAATTTATTGTGAGATAAATCTAGAGTAGTGAGTTCTTCTAACCAGAACAGTTCAGCGGGTATTCCTGAACTTTTAACCTTGTTATGCCTTACATTCAATGAACGCAGACATTTTAATTCAGTCAGTTCACCAAACAATTTTTCCAAACTGTTATTTTTCAATGACAAGTTTTCCTATAACCATATAAATTTTAATAAATATTCATGGACTTTCATTGACATCATTTGGCTGAGATTAAATAAAAAAATTGGGTAAGACTTTGGGAGACTACCAAGTGCTATTATACAAGATAATATTTGGATGAAATTGAAAAGCCACATACAGAAGTAAAAAAAAGGTATTTTGATGCGTTGCTGCAGAAAATTATTATTAAATTTTTTCTTTCTCTGTTGGACTTCTGTATGCACTGAACTGCTGAATAGAAAATATGGAATATTTACCAATTTCATAAGTTTCCCTAATTCTTCAGGGATATCATTTAAGTTTGTTTTATCCAGCCTGAGCCATTGCAGTCCTGTCATGTACCGAATGGCATCAGGAAATTTGTCATTCTGCAAAAATAATTAGGCCAGTAACATAAAAATAGTAAACTTCGTAAACAAAGGTAAAAGATATGATATCACCATACAAATATTTTTACTTACACTGAAATCATTACACGTGAAGTCAACACCACGAACAAATGGCAATAAACCTGTATTTGCCATATTTACAATATAAGAAACGATCTTAAAAATACTTTAAACATTCCTAAAAAATCTACAAGGGATTTGTCACTGCACTGACTGTCACTGTCAGTGTCTCATTTTTTTTAGTTCTATTCTTCCCTATTGGGAATGGCAAAGGCAAAGCCATGCAGCCATCGTCTTATTGTATTATTAAATTAGAATACGGGTGTGACACATTTTAATGTTACTTGGAGTGTTTGGTACGAAATGTATCGAGTCAGCTTTCTTAATAAGCTTCTGTGAGGAAGTCAACACTACAATAAAGTTCTCACATCCACTTGACCGGAATAGCGTATATTTTAAAGATTCCACTAATTCTTCAATTGTGTTGTTTACAACCAGGCGGTTGGAAACAAAATCACATCAATTTTATTTCACAATATCCACTATGACCGAATTAAAGAATAATTAAAATAAAACGACAACCGTTCACGATGAAATCCCTTGTCAGTGTCTCAGGAGAAAAAGGGCGCGAAATTGAAAAGTGAAGGCGCGGTTTTTAAATTTTTATTTATTTAAATAAGAAAAAAGCCCTTTTGATTTAATTACTGCTGCTCAAATGGGCAAATCAAGTGGCGGAAGAGGATCTCCTATGGAGACCGCTCAATCTGAGGCTTTAAAGCGTAAAGGTGCTAATATAGATGATGATGACACTGTGCCTCAGGCCAAGCAACCTACTAAATTTGTGGCAACTAGAAGAGGTTTGTTCAAGAGCTTTAGTATGCTATACAAAGATGAAAATACCAATAATTACCCATTACTTGTCAGCAAGACAGACAAATCTCCATTTAATTTACTGCAAGTAAACAGTATCTTGAAAAATTTACCTGGCGTTCTTTATGTCAAGCAACTGGGAGTAAACTTCTTGAAAATTTTCTTTAAAAGTATGAAAGATGCTAATTCATTTCTGCTCAACAATGAACTACTTACTACTAACAACTGGTCAGCTAAAATTCCTTTTGATAATGTAGAGAGCCAAGGTCTAATAAGGGCTCCAATAGAACTCACTGATACAGATCTTTTAGAGAATTTATCTGCTTCTCATGAAATTATCGGAGTAAAGAGATTTATCAAGAAGAAAGAAGACGGTTCCATTATTCCTCTTCAATTAGTTTTAGTTACTTTTCACACCACACATCGTCCAGACCATGTCAAATATGACCACTTATGGTTCGATGTTCAAGATTATATCAAACCAATACCACAATGTTTCACCTGTTACAAGTTTGGACACAACAGGGGATCATGTAAGATCAAACAAGTCTGTTCCATTTGCAGTGGAAATCATTTTTTCACTGAATGTACAAACAAAGAATCTATTAAATGTAGCAACTGCAATGGCCCTCATATAGCTGTTTCTAGATTGTGTCCTGTAAAGGTATCGAAGATAGAAGAAATAAAGCACAAAATATCTCGAAAAACATTTGCTTCTGTGGTATCAAGACAACCTCCCAAAATTACAGCTCCAGTTTCCTCACATACCAGTCCTACTCCTTTCGCATCAAGTCAGTATACTCCTTTGAATAAAACACCCCAAGGACGAGCTTTAGTAACTGATATATTAAATTCAGACACTGTTTTAAATGTAATCACTAAAACTGTTATAGACATATTGAAAAAATCACTAACACAGACGGGTAGGTGTGACCTTAGTAATAATTCAACAATTTCATCTAAATCAATTAAAGATCTCCTCATAAATAACTTTGCTTCATAATATGGATAGTATAGTTCTTTATGAGCAGATTAACATAATGCACTGGAACTCCCGTAGTATTTTACCTAAATTGGACCAACTTAAGCATTATCTTAGTAATTGTAGTAAACACATAGATATAATTCTTCTAAATGAGACTTGGTTAACTTGCTGCAAAACATTAAAAATTCCTGGTTTTACTATAATCCGTAGAGATTCAGATCACCCTCACGGGGGTGTAGCTGTAGCAATTAGAAATAGGTACAAATTCAATGTTATTAACACATACTCTTGTTATGTTTTTCAAAATATTTTAATTCATATTGAGTCTGGTTCCTTTAAAATGCATATTTTGTCTGTTTATAGTCCACCTCCACCTAATGGGAAAATGCAAATCAAGCACTTATCAGATGTTTATCATAACATTAACTCTCAAAACTTTCTAATAATAGGTGACTTCAATGGTCACCACTCATCCTGGGGCTGTAGGAACAACGACCGGAGAGGTAATTTTATCCACTCATTTGCTGAAACGTGCAATTTAGTATGTTTGAATGATCACGAGATAACGACTCTTCCTCCTCATGGGCAGACAGGTAATATTTTAGATTTGGTTTTTGCATCTCCCTCGTTAAGCTCCAGCTGTAAATTCTCCGTTTCCGATGACCCCTTCAGTAGTGATCATTATCCAGTACTAGTAGAAGTAATTTTAGGGGACGGTTCTCGTCCACTTCATAAGCGAACATTGGATACTTCTTATCCAAGTCGTCCTTATTCTCTCGCGGATATTAATTATAAGAAAGTCGACTGGTCTGAATTCTCTAAGAAATGTGAAGCAATGTTTTTGGAATTTAAAATGACCGAAGACCCTGTTTTAGATTATTCTAATTTCGTTAGTAATGTAAGTGAAGTTTTGTTTACATTTCCGATGAAATACTCCCGGTGTGACAAGTTTTCAAACCGTAAAGCTACCATTTGGTGGAATGATTCTTGTAGTGAAGCTGTTATAAAGGCTAAAATCGCTCTCCTTTCATATAAAAAATATCCTAGTTTGGAAAACTATATAATTTATAAGCAGTTTGATGCTAAAAAGAAAAGAATTATAGCTGAACAGAAACAATTATCATGGTACACACTTTGTACTTCCTTTAATCGTATGACTTCTTCTAAAATAATTTGGGATCATATTCGTAGATTTAAATTTTCTAAAATTGGACATTCAAATAATTTACAGTTTTTTGATAACATCGCGAATGTTAACGATTTTTTAGAGAAAATAGTCTCGTCGAGTGATGTCAGCGATGATGATAATTCAGAGTTAGATTCTTTATTTTCTGGTCAGGGCTTACAATCGGCACACTGGCTTAAAAATCCTTTTCTTTTTAATGAATTAGACGCATCCTTGATCAATAAGCGTAATACATCTCCTGGACCAGATTTTATTCCTTATTTAGTGATCCAAAAATTACCGAGTAAAGTTAAGCTAGTTTTACTATCCATTTACAATTCACTCTGGGTTTCTGGTCTTATCCCTCCTTCGTGGAAGGATCAGCATACTATACCAATACTAAAACCTTATAAAGACTCTGATAGTACTGACTCATATAGACCAATCTCATTGACATCTTGTTTTTCTAAAATCTTTGAAACAATGCTTAAAAATAGACTAGAGTGGTTTGTGGAACATAACTGTCTCATTCCTGAAAACCAGTATGGTTTTCGAAAAGGAAGAAGTACCATAGATAGTTTAGGCTGCTTGATTGGCGACATTGCAAATGGTTTTAAAAACAATAAGGTGACTTTCGCAGTATTTTTAGATATTAAAGGTGCGTTTGACAATATTGACCACCTATTTTTAATTAAAAGTCTTAGTTCATTAGGTTTTCCAGGCTCTACTCTCCGATGGATTTTTAATTTTCTACACAGTCGCAGTATACATCTCAAAGTTAATAATAAGCTGTATGGTCCAAAATCCACATGTAAAGGAACACCACAGGGATCTGTAATCTCTCCTTTAATTTTTGTTTTATCTTTAGTAATGCTAATGAAAAAAATTCCAAAATGCGTTAAGTACTTACTATATGCTGATGATTTAATAATCTACTATAGTTGTTCTGATCCTAAAGAAGGAGAACTAATAATGAATGATTGTCTAGTTTTCTTGCATAATATTTTGACTACATACCTTAAATTAGAAGTTAGCGTAGAGAAAAGCTCATTAGTTTTATTCACAAAAAAAATGGTCCCACAGTATAACCCTGTAATTTTATATAATAATATAAAAATTCCCATGCAATCTTCCGTAAAATACTTAGGTATTTATCTGGATTCAAATCTTTCTTGGAAAACACACATAGATTATATATGTAAGAAAGTTGAATTGGGACTTAACATAATGAGGTCTTTGTGTGGAGTGTCTTGGGGCGCCGACCCTAAAATCCTTAAGACCCTATATATTGCAACAGTTCGAAGTCATTTTGACTATGGCTCTATGTTTTTTGCAAATGCTTCCGATAAGTTATTGAAAAAATTAGACATTTTACAAAATAGAGCGTTACGTATTATAACAGGTGCTTTGATGTCCTCTCCCATTAACTATTTAGAAGTAGAAGCAGGAATTGTTCCACTCTCAGTTCGAAGAAGCTACATAACTGATAAATATTGTCTTAAACTGGTTACCCGAGATAACGCTATTACTTCTAGGTACTTAGAAAATTATTTAATTCCTAATTTTAATCTGATTTCTTTACCAATTGTTAATTCATTACCTCTTTCTATATCATACTTAAACTTTGAGTTTCAGGATGTTGTTTATTGGTCCAATTTAGTGCCTTGTTTTAATTCCGATTTTTACACTGTTATATTGGACATGAAAATACATTTATCTCATTTTAATAACAAATTCGAATTTTTGGAATTTCTTAACTCAAAACTTGAATATGTCAAAATTTATACTGACGGCTCTAAAACCAGTGAAAGAACTAGTTTTGCTTTTTACGATGCATGTAAGAAAATAGGAAAAGTATTTGGATGTAATAATTATTTCTCTGTTTTTTCTTCTAAAGCTTTAGCTATATTATTTGCCTTAAAATACATACTGAACAATTGTCGCCATATTTACAAAAAAGTATTGTTGTTATCTGATTCTATGAGTGTCCTACAAGCTATTTCAAAGAAATGTTTCAATGCATCAGACAACTACTTAATTCATGAAATAAAAAATTGTGTTAGCAGTCTGAATAACTTTGATGTAAATATAGAATTCGCTTGGGTTCCAGGTCAT